AGGGTTTCGGGGTTCAGGTTTTGGGGGTTTTAGGGGGTAGGGCTTCAAGGTTTGGATTTTGGGGGTTTAGGGTTTCGGGGTTTAGGATTTCGGGGGTTTAGGTTTGGGGGGTTTAGGGCTTAGAGGGGCTGTCTAGAGGTTTGGGTTGGACTTCTTAGATGCATTCGCGCCAAGACCTGAAATTATTACTACTTATTCGAAGGCACTGCTACTTCCGCGGCTGCTACTCCTCCTCCTCCGCGACTGCTGCTATGGCTATTACTGCCTAACCCTAAACCCTCAACCGTGTATTTCATGCTTCCCAAGCCCCATAGCCTGAACCCCTAAAGTCCAAATTCCTAAGCCCTATTTACACCCCTTAGTCCCGACACCCCTGAGCCCCTAAGCCCCTGAACTGTTGAACTCAGAAGCTTCTAAACCCTAAGCCCTACAACTGAATCCCTAAATCTTCAAAACCCTACAGTCAAGATGCAAAATCCTTCATGACCCTATTCCCTGGGGTGCTTTTTCTTTTGTCATTTTCCATTTTGTTATCCATTTGAATCTCCATTGTGCAAGTATCTAGGCCCCGTATCAACCTGTAAATCCCCAAACAAGCAAACCCTCTACGTTAGACCCTAAACCCCAAACCCTTTACCCTGAACGCTAAAGCCTTTAACCTAAACCCTGAACCCCAAACCCTCAATCCTTTACTCTAACTCTACTAATTAAACCTTAAACCCCAAAAAGTACCTTCCATGTTCTTTTCTATTATGCCTATATCATAGAACCCATATAACCTTATACAACCCTATATAACCCTATATAAGCAGCATTCACACCTCGTAGGCCGCTGCATCCTGGCTGCGCGGCCAAATCACCTGCGTGGCAGCCACAGGCAACTGGGGCAATCTTCGTAAGATCTCCCAGGTCCCTGCGTTGGGGTAGGGTTTAGGGTAAATGGGGTACTGTACATGCGGAACTTATTATGAGTTTGCAGGATTTCATAGTCTATCTACTTAAGGGCGACTAGGCTAGGGTCCACGGCTTGGGGTTTAGGGATTGCGCTGCATCGGGCAAGGCGGGAGTTCTAGGGTACCCGTAAGTTCTCTAGGAATATGATCGAAGTATCTAGGAGCCTCTATTCAGAGATGTATAGGATAATTTTTGAGAAGCTCCCATACAATGCGGGGCGTGAATCCCAACGCACATAGGGGCCCTAGATGAGCCTGAGGGCTGAGTAGACATCAGAAACAGGAGTGCTACATTTTGGGGGGCCTCGGAATTGACTAGAAAGGGTCCGGCAGTACTCTCCAAGAACTAGTGACGCGGACTACCGTCATTCTAGACAGTCGCACTGGTTAGCAGATATTTCTTTTCGCTGTGCTGCCGGCTAGCAATCATGCACAGTTTTGCACTGTGTCGGCCGCCTTGTGAGCAGCATGTTTCATGGGAAACTGCTGATGCTGTCCAGGCGAAGCAACTTGTTAGGGTTCAGGGTTTCGGATTTAGGGTGTCGGGTTTAGGGTTGGGAAAAAGCATTTGTGCAAGTCAGGACAGCATGCGCACCCCATAGGTGAAACAGAGCATATTCGACACTTCCCTGGAGTAATGGCAGCATCTCTTCTGCTTGGGTGTTCATGCTGCACCAATCTGACTTTTCTCAGAACAGGGGGTACTTTAGGGATTCCAGGGATGTGTGAGGTCATAGGGAGATCATAGGGTCCACCTTAAGGATGAAATACAGGCAATTTATGCATAGCCTAGTACCAATTGAGATGCGCCCAGAATACTCCAGCGAATTAAGGCTATAGTACACTGCGGCCCTTTGCAATGTTGTTTCTGACAGTTTTCATGGGATTCTTGTGACCGCTTTTCTGAGTTCATGTTCACCACAACACAAACACCGACGGCTTAAGCCTCATTGGAACCTTAGATAGCCAGGGTCTCGCTGACCCTCACCAAGAATGGCATCTACTCCGCCATCCTCCAGCTGCAAAATTCTGCCTCAGAAGCAATGGTCAGCTGAGTAGTATTTTATCTGGGGATACTATGGTATCCATGATAGAGTAAGATTATATCCTCCTTTTGGGGTATAGTATTTTATATAAGGAATATAATCTTACTGGGTTCAACCACCCAAAAAACCCTACTCAGCTGGTTCATGACAGTTTCTGGAATGGGTACCACCCTCATACATCCCCGAGTGCGTTCTATCCTGGGATGGATTTAGGGGCCCTATAAACTATAAATATTCAACTCTGATGGCTTTATGGGGTATATGTGGGGATTATGTTCCATGATTAAGACCTAAACCCCAAAAGCATGTAAAATAATCATAGCCCTATACCCCTCAAAGCCACCCAAAAAGGCTTTAATTCTACATGCTTCATGGGGTCCAGGTAAGGATCATTCCAAGGAATATCCCAGTATCCTTCTTGTCAAGGAGCCAAAGCCGACCAAGGCTTAGAATGTACCCTAAACCGAGACCCTTAGCCCTAGACCCTAAGCCCTGAACCCTAAACCCTAATCCTTAAGCCCTAAGCCCTATACCCTGAACCCTAAACCCTAAGCCCTACGCCCTAAACTCTACAAACCCTATTCTATAAAACCTTCAACCCTAAATACTAAGCCTTCAAAGGCTGCAGGCAAGGGGCTGCCGGCTGGAATTGATGCCTGACGACGTTCCTGCGGCGGGGCTTTTACAAGGGTTGCAGACCTCCCAAAGTTTCGTAGGTCTACAGGTAGGTATGTAGCATAGGATTTAGGGTCTAGGGTTCAGGATTTAGGGTTTATGGTAGGTATATATAGTACATAGTTAGGGCCCGAAGGATTCCCATTTAACTAACTACTGTGGGGCCTGAGTATTGATTATTTCGCTGA